AAATTGGCCTGGCTCCTTCTCATCTTGAGATTCCCAGTGATCAAAGCTATCTCCATGAAGAGTTCCTTCCTTAGGACTTCTACATTATATACTTTGGCCCCTATGGGTACCTCTTGTGATGGCTGATATCAAGCCCTGTGTTGTATGGTTCTATCTCATTACTAAAGCGTAGAGAAGCCTACATATTCAGAGAGACCCTAGCTGGGCAGTAGAAGGCCAAGAAGGTGCTTGCTTTCTGTCTAACACGTTACTGTTTATTTAGAGATGCACTTTCTGTCTGTCTTCATCTCTACTTTTTATGGCACGTAAGTCTTTATGCCCTTAGAATCTTTGTTAGCTTGTGATGGCAATCATTACCCCATTAGTCATAGCTAATGCCAGATCTGCTTTACTGCTGAAGGGCCTTAGTAGCTGGCTGCCCATTCTTTTCTGGGTTGATTGTAACTGGCCAAACAGGTCAATAACACTATTGTCCAGATTAACCTTGATCAGGTGACTTGTGGGAAGGCCCACAGTGATACGTATCATTAGGCCAAATGCAATATATTAGAAAGGGGTTGAAACAATGCTTGCAAGGCCAGAAGAGGGAAAACCAACACCATGATGTCGTCAATGTTATCACCTAGACTTTGGCACAGGACAGTCAAGTAGAATATTTATTAACACCCCTGGAGGTTTTATTGCCAGAGCTGAGTTGTGGCTCAATCATTTGATTTTCCATAGCAGAAAGTATAAAATGCTCCTGGGAGATGCTTTGTAGACAAGGATATATTTAAACTGGATCTAGAGGTGTAAGCAGAGAGATGATAGTCTGCAGGACACAGAAGCATCATTTGGCTGAAGCACAGGGTACCTGCCTATAACTAATGGGAGGGAGTTGTAAGGAATTTAGTTCCATGGGATCCTTTCATCATTACACTGTATGTTAAGAACTAAGAGCTGGATCTTCTAACCAACTCAGGATATCATCTTGTCTTGAATGCTATGGCAACAGAGGGCCTATATTTCTAAGCTTTCTCTGTTTTTCCCTCATCTATGCTAAAAAAAAAAAACAAAAACAAAAAACTAAGCCAAACAAACAAAAAGGCAAAACAATTCCATCACACCCATTAAGTATTTTGATCACTGATCCAAGCCGTTAGTTTTCAAATATTTTCAAAGATATTCTTTAACTCCTGTATCTAATTCCATGCCATACCAAATCTGGCTTTCAGTAACATGGAAGTTGCTGGCTAAGCAGCCTTTCGATATAGACAGCTGCTTGAGCAGCAGCAGCTATCCTTGGCTTCCTTTCCTACCCTTTGACCTTCACTTCTGGGGAGGTGGGAGAGGCAATGGAGGAGTGATCCCTTTCTGCCTCCCTGCCTAGAGACTGTAAATGAACAGCGAAAACAAAGTAGGGCTGAGAAGAAAGTGAGCAAAGTGCTAAGACGCCCCTGAGGTGAGAGACTGCCTGGTTCTGATTAATGTCGGGAAAAGTGGTAACCTGTGTGAACTGGGCACAGAGCAAGTGCTTCCCACTATAAGCTCATTCTGATTTTTGGTTCCGAACAATGACCACCAGAAAAACTCACCTCTCAGACAACTGGACTTTTAAAACCTTGGCAGGGGTAGAAGGGCTGTAGAAGCCATGTCTGTTGGCTTAGAAAGTCTAAGTAGCCAGCAAATGTTCTGCTCAACGGTTCTAGTAATATGAAGGGCTCTATCTTAGGCTGACTGCTCACTCTCCTGGGTCTGTTCTATTGGTCCATCAGGCTCAGTGTGGAGAGTGCTCCTAAAACCTTCCCTGACTCAGTATCATGGCCCTCTGCCCAGGGGCACACGCCTATCTCATATCTATATTTTCTTAACCCATCCCCCCTTTATAGTTTTATCCAGGCCTTTCCCTGTAAAGATTTCTGACGATGAATGAAAAGTAAAGATAGCACAGGTCTGCTCCCTGGATAATCTTCAAACCTTAGGCATCAAAATAAAGGCCATTAAATGCAACCATCACGCCTCCACACAGTGTATGTGAGGCGAGAGGTGCTATGCTGAGGTGAGTGTATAAATAAAACAAGTCTAAACTAGCACCACGACCAGTAGCTTTGGATCATGAAAATGATCTTCGATGTGTCTAATGAAAGAAGGTTGCAGGACATCGAGGACGTTCCAATTGTCCAATTTAGTCCTCAATCTACACAAAACAGAGGTAGTGATGAAGACGCTGCAGTCATCATGGTTTGTCAACAGTAACTTTCACTATTTAGGCTGTGGAGTCTTAGCTGTCTGTCTCCTTGTTAGAGCAACAAGACGGGGTGAATTTCAGTGCCACTTGTAGCCCATTTATGGTATTGGCTGGGGGCCCTTGGGGGATGCAAAAGGGATCTAATGACTTCCATCTCATAGTACTTGCAAGTGTTCTGCATGTGGCAGCTCACACCTGTAATACTAGTATTTGGGACACCAAGATTAGAAGTTTACCCTGAGTTTTAACCATAATGAATTACATAGTGCATTCCAGGCCAGTCTGGGCTACTGAGTCAAACCTTGCTTCTAAACTTATCTCAAGTGCTTTAACTTGTAATTGGGATGGGGGAGGAAAGGTAATAAGAGATAAAATTAGACCAGAGATACTTCAGAAAGTAATGGTAGCCCCCTCCCACCTCCATATACACACTTCTTATAGGCTAGGTAGGAGCGCATGAAGGCTTCTGCAGGGAGACAATCTCAACTACCTCCCATCTCAAGACCTTCAGTGAACAATGTAGGATCAATCAACAAGTGTGGTTCATTGACTGGATTAGTATTTACTATATGCTCTTCCTATATATTTTTCTTCTCTATATTCCAACATCCAGCTACTTTGTATAGTGGAGACCAAAGACAAAAGTCAACCATCTCTGACCTTGTTTGTTTCAAAGTCAAATCTCACTGAAGGACAAACAGGGTGAGAGGAGATAGAGAGATAAACACAGATGATTCACAGTATAGGAAAAGAAGAGAGATAGAGAGAAAGAGAGAGAGAGAGAGAGAGAGAGAGAGAATGAGAATGTGTGTGTGCATGTGTTTGTGAGGGCATGTGAGTCTCTCTCTCTCTCTCTCTCTCTCTCTCTCTCTCTCTCTCTCTCTCT